GCTCAATAGAGGGGAGAGAGGTGATCCAATAAGATGTCCAAATGTCTGTTTGTAAATGTTGTCATTGAATGAGAAGTAGGTAGTACTTAGTTTCAAGTTGATTAATCGTGTTAACAACTCTCTCCTGATACTCTCTGTTTCTAGGATATCCTGTTCTTGATCTAAAATGTCTAAAACAGGGTCGTCAGCTCCTTTTCTCCAGAAATGTTTGTGTACATAGGTTGCACATAAAAGCTTACTAGTAATTATGTCTCTTCTAATGTTATGTTTTTGAACCTCTGAGAAAATTCATATGAGTGCCTTACTGTGTTTGATAATGTCGTTCGCCTTCTTACGTTTCAGGAAAGAACTTGATTATTTTGTGTGTTGCTCCATACTTGTTGTTAACTATAATCCACAGTCGTTCCCCTTCCTTGTGTAACTTCGTTAACACCTAGGCTGTTGGTCGTCAAGCATCCTTTTATATTAGTGAGTTTATTATCCATCCCTTGATCTCCCCGTATCTAAGCCCATCTTTCAGCATGTCCAGTAAAGTTCCATTGATCTTCATAGTTGGGTCCTTCCTTAGTACACGATACGTAGTCCTTGTCTTGCAGTATACATTCCATTTTTTCGGTATACTGTTTTGTGTTCATTACAACTATCGGTCCTCCTTTATCCGCATGAAGGACCAATTGTTCACTGATTTACAGGGTTCTTCTTATCCTCGCAAATTTTTTCTTGTGCATTGGTTCATAAGGTGCCAATATTCTATGAATTATTTCCATCTCCATTTCCCATTTTGTCTCCTAGGGAACTTGTCGGAGATATTAATGACCTCAACCAGAATGTCCTCTAGAATATTTTTGCCATTTTGAGGAAAAAAATGTAATCCTTTCTTTATGTTCGTAAAGGATTCATGATCAAGGGCAAGTGAAGATAAATTCACGAGTTTGTTCCCTTCGTCAAACTGTTCAGTAGGTGTCGTCGCCTTGGAAGCCCCTTCAACTGAGCGTACTGGCTTTACTCGACGTTGTCTTATAATTCCATACCTAAGCAATTTATTGTCGTGGTACTAAGGCAAAGATCCTACAGAATTGTGTGAATAAGTGGATGGGCCATATGAAGTGGATTTGAGATAAAGAGATGCGGCACTAGTGAGTAGAACAAAAATAGGGGTGAGGAGTGATGCCAAAACGGTTGAACAGAAAATTGGTCAAGTGGTCTTCCTTTGTCACTTTAATAAGTTGTAATTATCTACTAACGATGAGGCCTCTCACTGACGACGCCGACTACGATGCACGCGAAGCGTTTGGGAATGTACTCAGCCAATGATCCAATGCTGGCAAGAGGCACGGGACTAGGTGTGTTCTACAAGGTCTCCATGACGCTCCATCCAAGTTGTGAAAACAAGGTGGACCCAACAGTGTGAATCAGAGCATAGGCGCTCTGAAGATGAGTCGACTTTTACGTGCTACTGAAGGCATGAGAAATAGCACTTGGAGTAAAAGTACGCTGGGGCTGGAACCGAGTAAAATCGATCAACCATAAAGATAAAGAGACCTACGGGCCAATAAGGCAGCTCCCGACAGGAGGCTAGAACCGAATCAGCCACTCGAAATGGAGGGGAGCAATACAAACAGTAGGTGTGATGACGCCACGGTAAATTCGCCAAAAGGGAGAGACGAGAGGGTAGGAAATGGATAGAGGGGCCAGGACAGAACGAGGAGTAATAGCACAACGTTCTTTAGAGAAAATTGGTCAAAGGATTGGCTTCACTTGTCTCTACGCATTGTAGCTTGGTTCCCGAGGCTCGCAGTACTCACTGACGGAAAGTCTGGGAATGTATCAAGTCCACTGTCCGAATCTTACATACTGTGGAGTCAGGACAAGATGCGTTCCTCTAGATCTTCCTACTAATATGACCAAGTAGCGAAACCAAGGTCAAACAACTTCTTTAATTAAAAAACTTCACCATATTTGCTATCATAAACTATGATTGCTTCGATGATATTAAGACCAAGATGGTGTGGCCACTGGTAAGGTCGCAGTCTCCTTTAGATTTATAGAAGTAGGTTGACCTCGTTGTCGCAACTTGGTCTTGTTGTTAGGGCGACGCGCCTAGTCCGAAGTCGTCTGCCATAGTAGTTGTCATAATTACCATCATAAGACAATGGACTTGGTAGATTTTCCAACCTTTCGCCGGCATCATAGTCGTCTCTGACGAGTTCGTGGCTTGGTGCGGAGAATGACAAAACTCACTGATGAGGCCGACTACGATGCCGGTGAAACGTTTGAGAATAGACCAAGTACACTGTAGGATGCTAGGAATTATGACAACCACTATGACAGGCGACTTCGGACTAGGTGCGTTCTACTAAGTCGCCCTGACAACAAGACCAAGTTGAGACGAGTTCTACCCACTTCTATGATTGCTTCGGTTTACTATAAATATCTACCGCTTAATCTCGAAGCCCCTTTTCATTTATAATCAAACCAGTATATTAATATACTACTTACCAGAGATCCACTTCGCCGATTTACGGTGTTTACAAATGGATCTAAAGGCCCTGGAGTCAGTCGATCAGCAAAACCAGCAACTGCAGAGCTAGGAGAATACATAAGCCAATTATCGCCAGTCCCACTGCCGTTTTCACCAGCTGACCCAACAGCATGACTAACTGCTGAAACGCCCGTGGACCCAGTGGACATTGGAGCCAGCCTTCCCTGGTTGGCTGAGCGGGAACGAGCATGACGACGAGAAGAATGGCTATGATGGTGGTGATGGTGATGATGTTGATGTCGGAGTCGCACATCAGGCTGAAACATAAACATATTCATATACTTTCTAGATTTTAGACTCCAAGCTGGAAATATTCACAGTATTCTTTAAATATATGAACGTGTGTATGACATAATTTAATGTAGCTGTTATTGTCACATAATGCGAATACCAGCAATAGGCTCAGAGTACGCCCTTGCTATTTAAGTGATTAGTTGTGAAGCGATGGGCTCTGGAATAAAGAGAACAACATATATAAATTTACTTGATGATTCCTTAAGTCAAAACAGCTTTTACACATTAGTAGGGCTTTGAGTTTACACATGGAAATGGATACAATGGTTAATATAAGTAAACCATACAGGACTATAGGGAAATTACCTCACAATAAATCCATCCAAAATTCATCAAACAAATTATTTACAAAATTCGGTTATCACAATAAGATAATTCGTCAACATAAAAAGCAGTCTGTTGACAAGTAAGGATGTGACTATAGAAGTATGATATTGAATTTGAGATCGGAACACAAAACCTTAGTGTGTTGCTTCTTAACATAGTAATTTTTAATATAGAGGTTAGCAAAGTTGTTGCAAATACAGAAGAAATGTAATCATTAAAGATTGTATACGTTGACAAGGGTCTTAAAGCTTGCAAAATAATGTTAAAATTACAAACATGCATCATAATTGGTTGTTTTTTTATTTATGAAAAGAGAGATAATTTATTAAAGACAGTAGAAAAATAGTTAATTCAGATATACATAAGAGAACATTTAGTTATTCAGTAAGATAGATATATAGAGTATCCTGAGTTTTAGAATTCGTTGATTGCAGTGCCTAGGTATCATATATATGAAGTAAAAAACCAACATAATACTTTTTATATAATGAGTGATATGCTGATAATAAAATGAAGGCTCTGATTTGCCAGGGGAAAAGCGATTTCTCGTTCAGGATTGCTTGCCTGGCCCTATATAGGGTTAGAGTATCAGAACCCGGAAGCTAATTCGCTTCTAAGTACGAAATTCTAATCTATTGTAAACATTACTTGCAAGAACATCGGGCAGATAACGAAAAATTTCAATGTAGTTAACACGATAAATTCCAAAGAACAGCATTTTATAGGAATATATAGGCTAAGAAAGGGGAGCTATTGAAAACGACGTTGACAGTTTATTAAGCAATAAATATAGATAAAGTACACTACTGAGATGCAATGCAAATTCATTAATAAATAAAATATGAATAGGCATGAATACTTTAAAAAGCTTAAAGGAAATTCAGGCAAGTAAGTTTGATTATAATATTGAAAAGTTAAGTTTAATAATGTAATGACTCTATAATAGGGTCAATTAAATCTGAGCATTTGAGTTATAAGTAGATAATAACGATGAAAGGGGGACCTTCATTTCGTATGAAAGTGCACGAAAAAGAGATTCGTTGGTCAATCTCACCAGATTAGGAAGGATGAAACTCGTTGCACTGCAGCCGGTTGGATTTTATACGATATTCATGTTGACGCAGTCCACAGAACTTCCTCCATCGTTTCGGGTAAAAACGTGCTGAGCTTTCATCCATCATATGATGGACATCATCAAAGCTGGGTGTCACTCTTGTAAAAGTCAAATCTTGACACTAGGCCAAGAAGACTATCCGGCTTTTTCTTAACTCTTATAGAGACTAAGCTAAGCGAAA